GAGAATTTTGGGAGAATTTTGGGGAGTTTTTGAGAGACTTTTGTGGGAATTTCAGGGGAATTTTAGGGGGATTTTTGGGGGGATTTTGGGAGAATTTTTGGGGAATTTTGGGGAATTTCAGGGGAATTTTAGGGGGATTTTTGGGGGAATTTTGGGGGAATTTTGGGAAATTTTGTGAGAATTTTGAGGGATTTTTTGCGGGAAGCTTTGGAGAATTTTGAGGGAATTTTGGGAGACAGTTTGGAAGAATTTTGAGGGAATTTTGGGAGAATTTTGGGGGAATTTTGGGGGAATTTTGGGGGAATTTTTTGGGAGGGCTTTATGCCAAGGACCTAGACATGAATTACCCATAAATTAATTAATGATAATTAGTTAATTGCTCACCCAGGTGCGGGTAATACTCGGAGGGCTCCTCGGGCCCGGCCCCGCTCGAGTCGTGGCTCGGGGACGGCGTCGGCGGCTTCACCATCTCGGCCGTCTGCAGGAACCTGCGGCAATTAATTAACGGGGTAATTAACGGGGTAATTAATGGGGGTTAGGATAATTAATGGGGGTTGGGGCAATTATTGGGGGTGGGGCAATTGTTTGGGGCAGTTATGGGGTGGTTTGGGGCAGTTACGGATAATTTTTGGGTCATTTTGAGATAATTTTTGGGTCCCTTTTGCATCGTTTTTTGGGGTCATTTTGGGGTCACTTTTGGGTCATTTTTGTGTCATTTTTGGGTCAACTTTGGGGTCACTTTTGAATCATTCTTGGGATAACTTTGGGTCATTTTTGGGTCATTTTCAGGCCACACTTGTGTCATTTTTGGGGTCATTTCTGGGTCGCTCTGGGGTCATTTTTGGGTCATTTTTGGGTCACTTTCAGACCCCATTTGGGTTCATTTTTGTGTCATTTTTGGGTCATTTTAAGTCATTTTTGGGGTCATTTTTGAGTCACATTTAGGCCACATTTGGGTCATTGTTTTGGTAATTTTTGGGTCATTTTCAGGCCACATTTGGGTCATTGTTTTGGTAATTTTTGGGTCATTTTCAGGCCACATTTGGGTCATTTTAGGGTCACTTTTGGGGCCATTTTTGGATCATTTTGAGATTATTTTAGGGTCAGTTTTGGGTCACTTTTAGGTCTTTTTTGGGTCACTTTTGTATCATTTTTTGGCCATTTTTAGGTCACTTTTGGGCCATTTTTGAGGTCAGTTTCATATCACTTTTAGGCCACGTTTGTGTCACTTTTTGAGTCAATTTTGGGTCACTTTGAGATAAATTTTTGTGTCATTTTTTGCATCATTTTGGAGATCATTTTTGGGTCACTTTTTGCTATTTTCTAGACCTCATTTGTGTCATTTTTTGGCTCATTTCCAGGTCTTTTTGGGTCATTTTTGGGCCGCTTTTGGGTCACTTTCAGGCCACATTTGGGGTCATTTTCTGGGTCATTTTTTGGGTCACTTTTGTGTCACTTTCAGATCATTTTTAGACTCCATTGGTGTCACGTTTTGGGTCATTTTTGGGGTCATTTTTGTGCAATTTTTTGGGTCATTTTTAGGTCACTTTTCGGCCACATTTGGGTCACTTTTGGGGTCATTTTTGGGGTAATTTTGAGGTCACTTTTGGGTCAGTTTCAGGTCACTTTTGGGATCATATTTGGTCCATTTTTTGGATCACTTTTGTGTCACTTCTTGGATAATTTTTGTGCCATTTTTTGGCCATTTTTGTGTCATTTTTGGGTCATTTTTGGCCATTTTTGGTTCATTTTTGTGCCATTTTCCCTCACCTGTAGAGCCCCAGGTCAGTGAACCAATCCTGCACCAGCAGCACCACGTGGCACACGGTGAACAGGAAGGCGGCGATCTGCAGCGACTGCATTTGCATAAATTAGCATAAACCAGCATAACCCCACCTCCTCATCAGCATGACCGACCCCTCGTCAGCATAATTAACCCCTCATTAGCATAATTAACCCCTCATTTACCTGCGTCTCCACGTAGGCGTGGGCAGCGCGAACTCGGGCGGGAGCTTCCGGTCGTTGTTGATCAGGTGATCCAGGTGGGCGGGGCTTAGGATGGGCTGGGGGCGTGACCAAAAAAGGGATGGTGTCAATTAGGTCACACCCACACGAGCAAGGTGGGCGGGGCTTAGGACGGGCTGGGGGCGTGGCTTACAGATGGGCTGGGGCGTGGCCAAGAGGGGCAAGCATGGTGAGGCCACGCCCATCAGATTCGGGTGGGCGGGGCTTAGGATGGGCTGAGGGCATGGCCAAGACCAGTAAGGAAAAGTGAGGCCACGCCCACATCTCCAAATATGGTAATGAGAGGGCAGGGAAAGGGTTAATGGGGAGGTGGGGTGATGAAGGTAATTAGAGTAATTATGGTAATTGGAGTGATTATGGTAATCAGGATAATTATGATAATTAGGGTAAATACGTTAATTGGAGGAATTACAGAAATCGAGGTGATTAAAACTGAGCTAAATGTGGTTGCTAGAGGAATTAATTAAATCCTTAAATCAACACCAATTATGGAATAAATAACGCTAATTAATGAATAATTAATAAATAAATGAAATAAATAAAGCTAATTAAGCACAACTAGCGTTTTTTTCATATAATCAATAATACCTATAAACTAATTAGAATTAATAAAAGATAATTAAGGTGCTTTTAAGTTACTTTTGGGATAACTAACTCTATTAATGAACCTACTAAAGTTACTTGAGCATAACTAAATTACTTTTTGCATAATTATTACTTACTATACATTATCAATTATTCATTATAGATTATTGTTTATTAATTATTATCGATTATTAATTATTAATTTTTACTAATTAATGCCATTAACCAACTAATTACAACAAATAAGCTGCAATTAAGGTACTTTCAAGCTAATTAACACTATTAACTCAATGATTAAGCTTAATTAGCCCAAAGTAATCAACTTTTAGGCTAATTTTTGGACTAATAATCGATATTTAGACAACTATTAATGCTAATTAACAGCAATTAAAGGCGGATAACAACCGATTACAGACAGGTAAAAGGTAAATAGGAGTAATTAAGGGTAATTGAGGTTAATTAGCGTTAATTACCTGTGTATCCAAGAACAGCACGCGCTCCTGGGTGATGAACAGGTCGATGCCCCCGGTCTGGGCCCCGCCCCTCTCGCGCAGCTCCGGCGGCTGCGGCCGGAACACGAAGGAGCTGAAACCAGTATGGACCAGTATGGACCAGTATGGACCAGTATGGACCAGTATGGACCGGTATGGACCAGAATGGACCCATCCCAGTATAAACCAGTAACCCCAAATCCCCTTTAACCATTCCCCAGTATAAACCAGTCTATCCCAGTATATCCGAATCCCCTCCCAGTCCATCCCAGTTTGATCCCAGTCCATCCCAGTCCCTCCCAGTAACCCCAAATCCCCCATTAACCCTTTCCCAGTCCCTCCCAGTTTGTCCCAAGCCCCTCCCAGTACAAACCACTAACCCCAAATCCCCCTTTAAACCCCTTCCCAGTATATCCCAGTTTGATCCCAGTCCCTCCCAGCCCCTCCCAATCCCCTCCCAGTATAAACCAGTCCCTCCCAGTCTGTCCCAGTACCGCGGGTCCTCCTCGGGCTGGTTCCCGGCCAGCAGCGACATCACCGTGGATTTCCCGGTGCCCTGCAGCCCCAGCGCCCCCACCACCAGCACGTCCGTCTGCTCCAGCAGGAACTGGGACAAACTGGGAGTCACTGGGAGCGGCCTGGACACGCCCCCGGCCACGCCCACCCCACTAAACCCCGCCCCCAGCTCCAACTGGGAGTCACTGACAGGGTCCTGGCCCCGCCCACCACACTAAACCCCGCCCCCAGCTCCAACTGGGAGTTACTGTGAGCATCCCAAGCCACGCCCACTACACTAAGCCCGGCCCCAGCCCATACTGGGAGGGTCCTGGCCCCACTCACCACACTAAACCCCACCCCCAGCCCATACTGGGCGTGACTGAGAGGGTCCTGGCCCCGCCCACCACACTAAACCCCGCCCCCAGCTCCAACTGGGAGTTACTGTGAGCATCCCCCCCAAGCCACGCCCACTACACTAAGCCCGGCCCCAGCCCATACTGGAGGGTCCTGGCCCCACTCACCACACTAAACCCCACCCCCAGCCCATACTGGGCGTGACTGAGAGGGTCCTGGCCACGCCCACCACACTAAACCCCGCCCCCAGCCCATACTGGGAGTTACTGTGAGCATCCCAAGCCACGCCCACTACACTTAGCCCTGCCCCAGCCCATACTGGGCGTGACTGAGAGGGTCCTGGCCCCGCCCACCACACTAAACCCCGCCCCCAGCCCCATACTGGGAGTTACTGGGAGGGTCCTGGCCCCGCCCCCTCCACACAGCCACGCCCCCAGCCCATACTGGGAGTTACTGCGAGGGTCCCAAGCCACGCCCACAACATGAAACCCTGCCCCCAGCCCATACTGGGAGTTACTGGGAGGGTCCTGGCCCCACCCACCACACTAAACCCCGCCCCCAGCCCATACTGGGAGTTACAGGGAGAGTCCTGGCCCCGCCCCGTTGAAGCCCCGCCCACTCCTCTTGAAGCCCCGCCCACCTCGAGGGCGCTGTCGCACCAGTTCATTTGCTCGTCCACCAGTTTGATGCTGCTTTTCATCTTCTCGGGCGCCGCCAGCCGGGCCTGGGCCTGGGCAGCTGGGGGAGGGGCCAAGGGGGGACACGCCCACTTGGGGATACGCCCACCAGGCAAAAAACCCCGCCCACTTTTCTGTAATTTGCATAAAGCTAGCCACACCCATTAGAAACGCTGAATGCTTTAGTGCCACAATTGAATTGAAATTTGTGGTTGGCCACGCCCACGGGGACCACACCCAAAATTGGCCACGCCCACAGCACAAACCACGCCCCTTTTGACTAATGAATCCTCTTGACTCTCAAATTTTAGCCCCACCCACAAAATGGCCACACCCCAATAACCACACCCAGTCTTGGCCATGCCCTCAAGCCAAACCACGCCCATCTTGTCTACCCAATAATCTTGAGCCTCATTCTTTAGTCCCGCCCAGAAACTGAAGCCCGCCCCTTTTGGCCACCCAATCTCCATTAGTTTCATCCTTTAGCCCCGCCCAACATGACCACACCCACACCTTCAATTGACCACACCCCCCTCATTCCCCGCCCATTTCCACACCCAATCCTCTCAATTTAGCCCCGCCCACTCAATAAACCCCACCCATTTTAGCTCCTCCCACACCCCCACCTCAGAGCGCGCCCCTTTAAGCCCCGCCCACTCACGGTCCAGCGCGGCGGGCGGGGCCAATCCCCGGCTGTGCAGTTGATAGACAGGCTGGGTGGGGCGTGGCCCCTCCCTCTCGGTGGGCGGGGCTTGCTGTGGGCCCTCCCCTGGTGCTGCCGAGGCTCCGCCCCCTCCCCGCCCCTCCTCCCCCCGCGCTTTCATCAGCACGATGGGCGGGGCCGGCGCGGGAGGGGGCGGGGCTTGTGCTGGCCCCGCCTTTGGAGCGGCCGGAGGCGGCTGCTGCTGGGTAAAAATAGAAAATGACATCATGGGGCGTGGCCACAGCCACTTTTAGGTGTAGCCACACCCCCTTGGATAGTGGCCCCGCCCCCCAGGCTCACCCGTTCTGCAGGGGGCTTGGCCAGGATGATTGGCGTCTTCTGTAGGGTCCCCGCTGGCTCCTCCCCCAGCTCCTGTGGGCGGGGCAAGGTCAGTTAGGCCACGTCCACCATGCTCACAAACAGCCACGCCCACTCAGGTGTAGCCACCCCCCCCTTTCCAGCCTCCCATTGTTCTTTATAGGACTCTAGGCCACGCCTACTGTGTGCCACACTCATCAAAGCCACGCCCCCATTTCCAGCCCCACCCCATCCATCTCCTTCCAGTCATTCCTAAGCCATGCCCCACTCTCTGGTGTTGTCAATCATTTTCAAGCCCTGCCCTCTCCATAATTCCCACCCCATGCAGCTGCTGTCAATCAACCACAAGCTCCACCCCACAGAAGTGTCAATCAATTCTAAGTCCTGCCCCCACATATATGTTGTCAGTCAACCCCAAGCCCCGCCCCATCCCCACACAGCTGCTGTCACTCAAGCCCAAGCCATGTCCTACTCCCCACACGGCTGCTGCCAATCATTTTCAAGCCCCGCCTCACTTACACAGCTGCTGTCAATCAACCCCAAACCCGCCCTACTCCCCACAGAGCTGCTGTCAATCATTAGCAAGCCCCGCCCCACTCCCCACACAACCACTGTCAATCAATCTCAAACCCCGCCCCACTGCCCTCACAACAGCTGTCAATCATTTCCAAACCACGCCCCACCCCCACACAACCACTGTCACTCATCCCCCAAGCCCCACCCCTTAGCCCCGCCCACCCTCCTCTCTCCGCCTCCCTCCGGTTCCTTCTCTCGGTTCCAGCAGCGGCGCCGCGCGCCGGGGGCGGGGCTCTGCCCGGAGTCCGACATGGCGGCGGCACCGGGGCTGCTCCGGGCCCCGAGCGGCTCCTGAGGGGCTCCCGGAGGGTCTTGAGGGGATCCCGGGGAGATTCGGGGCAGTTCCAGAGGATCTTGAGGGCTCCCAGAGGGTCCCGGAGGCTCCTGAGGGGTCCCGGGGAGGTTCGGGAGGGTCCCGGATGCTCCTGAGGGAGTCCCGGAGGTCTTGAGGGGGTCCCGGGAGGTTTCTGAGGGTCCTGAGGGGCTCCCGTAGGGTCTTGAGGGGGTTCCGAAGGTTCCTGACGGGGCGTCGGAGGTTTCTGAAGGGTCCCGGAGGGTCCCGGAGAGGATCCCGGGGGTACCGGAGGCTCCTGAGGGGTCCCGGAGGCTCCTGAGGGGGTCCCGGCGAGGCCCCGAGCGGCTGTCAGGGAGGTTTTTGTGGTTCCCGGGAGGGTTTTATGGGTCCCGGGGAGGTTTTAGGGGTCCCCGGGAAGGTTTCAATGGACCCGGGGAGATTTTTGGGGTCCCCGGGAAGGTTTTGGGGATCCCGGGGAGGTTTTAGTGGCTCCCGGAGCCCCTGAGGGCTCCTGAGGCCCCTTCCGGTTCCGTTCCCGCTGCTCCCGCCCGCGCGCGCGGCCTGAGGGGAAAGGGGGCGTGGCCTGTAGGAGATGGCTGTGCGCATGCGCGGAGCCGTGAAGGCCTTAAAAAAAAATCCTAAAAAAACCCCGAAAACTCAAAAAATCCCCGACAAAAATTCCCTGAAAAATCCCAGAATTTCCCTTTAAAAACCGCCCAAAATCCCAAAATTTCTTTTTAAAAACCCTACAAGAATTCCCATAAAAATGCCCCAAATGTTCCAAAATTTCCCTTTAAAAGCCCCCAAAATTTCTAAAAAAAAATCCGAAAAAAGTGCCTAAATTTATCTTTAAAACTCCCCAAAAATATCCCTAAAAAGTTCCAAAAGTTTTCTAAAAAATCCCCAAAAAATCCCCAAAAAATCCCCGAAAAGTGCCAAAACTTCCCTTAAAAAACCCCAAAACAATCCCCAAAAGATTTTAAAATTTCACCAATATGTTCCAAAATTTCTATTTTAAAAAAGTAAAAAAAAAAAAAACAAAAACAAAACCCATTTAAAAGAATAAACAAAAACCGTCCGGGCGTTCAGGCCACGCCCCCAGCCATTCAACACTATGGCAGTGGGCGTGGCTTACCAGCGGCATTACGTCATGGTAATCGCCTCGTGGGCGTGGCGTAGCGGCCGGCATTACGTCAGCGCCTTAGCGGCGTTGTGGGCGTGGTTTCCGGGGCAGGGGGCGTGGCCTGCACAAAATGGCGGCGCTGCGCGTGCTCGTGGGGGTGAAGCGCGTCATTGACTTTGCCGTCAAGGTAAGGGCACAGCTGGCACACCTGGGCACACCTGGGCACACCTGGGCACCCCCAAACCCCCACAACCATCCCCGCGACTGGCACCGCCCAGGGAGCCCCGAAATCCCGAAATTTGGGGGTTTTTTGGGGTTTTTTTGGGGGGTTTTGGGGGTCTGGGCACACCTGGGCACTCACCTGGGCACACCTAGGCACACCTGGCAACCCCAAAAACCCCGAAATCCCCCCAAAAGTCCACAAAAAATCGCAAAAAAAATCGCAAAGAGTCCCCAAAAATCGAAATAAAATCCCAAAAACTGGGAATGTTTATGGGCTGGGGGGTTGGGCACTGACCTGGGCACACCTGGGCACACCTGGGCATCGTAAAACCCCCAAAAAATCGAAAAAACCACAAAAAAATCGCAAAAAATCACACCAAACAAAATCCAAAAAAAATCCCCAAAAATCCCAAATCCTGGAGGTATTTTTTGGGCATGGAGAGGGCACTGACCTGGGCACACCTGGGCACACCTGGGCATCGTAAAACCCCAAAAAATCCCAAAAAACGTCGGAAAAATCTGCAAAAAACCCAAAAAAATCGCAAAAAATCACAAAAACATCCCAAAAAATCCCAAATCCTGGGGGCTTTTTTTGGGCATGGGGGTTGGCACTGACCTGGGCACACCTGGGCACCCTAAAACCCCCAAAAATAAAAAAAAATTTAAAAAAAATTAAAAAAAAATTAAAAAAATATCCAAAAAAATCCAAAAAATTGCAAAAAAATCGCAAAAAATCCAAATAAAATCCCACATCCTGGGGGTATGTTTTGGGCATGGGGTTGGCACTGACCTGAGCACACCTGGGCACCCTAAAACCCCCAAGAAAACCCAAAAATCCCCCAAAGAATCGCAAAAAAATCACACAAAATCCAAAAAAAATCCGCAAAACATCCCCCAAAATCCCAAATCCTGGGGTTATTTTTTGGGCACTGACCTGGGCACACCTGGGCACCCCAAAAAACCCCAAAAAATCAAAAAAAAATCGCAAAAAAAAAATCCAAAAAAAATCCCCAAAAAATCGCAAAAAATCGCAAAAAAAAATCCACAAAAAATCCCTAAAATTGCCAAATCCTGGAGGAGTTTTTTGGGCACTGACCTGGGCACAGCTGGGCACACCTGGGCACAACTGGGCATCGTAAAACCCCCAAAAAATAAAAAAAAAAATCGCAAAAATATCGCAACAAATCAAAAAAAAAAAAATCGGAAAAAAAATCCCAAAAAATCCCTAAAGGATCCCGCAAAAAATCCCCAAAATTGCCAAACCCCGGGGGTATTTTTTGGGCACTCACCTGGGCACCCCAAAAACCCCAAAAAATCAAAAAAAAATCGCAAAAAAAATCGCAAAAAATCCCCCAAAAAATCGCAAAAAATCGCAAAAAAAATCCGCAAAAAATCCCTAAAATTTCCAAATCCTGGAGGTGTTTTTTGGGCACTGAGCTGGGCACACCTGGGCACACCTGGGCATCGTAAAACCCCCAAAAAATAAACAAAACTCGAAAAAAAATCGAAAAAAAATCGAAAAAAATCGAAAAAAAATCACAAAAACATCCCCAAAATCCCAAATCCTGGGGGTATGTTTTGGGCATGGGGTTGGCACTGACCTGGGCACACCTGGGCACACCTGGGCACACCTGGGCACCCCAAAACCCTCAAAAAATCGAAAAAAAAATCCCCAAAAAAATCGAAAAAAAAATCGAAAAAAATCGGAAAAAAATCGAAAAAAAATCCGAAAAAAATCCCAAAAACCGCCCAGGGTGGCAGCGCCCGCGCTGAGGTGCCCGCCGTGCCCGCAGGTGCGGGTGGCGCCCGGCGGGGGCGCGGTGCAGACGCAGGGCGTGAAGCACTCGCTGAACCCGTTCTGCGAGATCGCCCTGGAGGAGGCCGTCAGGCTGCGCGAGGCGGGCGCGGCCGGCGAGGTCATCGCCGCCAGCCTGGGCGCCAAGGCGTGCCAGGTGAGACGGGCGCGCCCGGGCGGGCAACGGCTGGGGGAGAAACGGTGAAAATTTGGTGAAAATCGGGTGAGAAACGGTGAAAAAACGGGGATTTTAGGGGGTTTTTAAGGGGTTTTTAGGGGGGATTTGGGGGTTTGGGCACAGCTGGGCACACCTGGGGGCACCTTGGCACATGTGAGGGCACCTGGGCTCACCTGGGGGCGCTAAAATGGGGAAAAATGGTGAAAAATGGGTGAAAATTGGGTGAAAATGGTGAAAAAATGGGGATTTTAGGGGGTTTTAAGGGGTTTTTAGGGGGGATTTGGGGGTTTGGGCACAGCTGGGCACACCCGGGGGCACCTTGGCACATGTGAGGGCACCTGGGCACACCTGGGGGCGCTAAAATGGGGAAAAATGGTGAAAAATGGGTGAAAATTGGGTGAAAATTGGGCAAAATTTGGAGATTTGGGGGCGAATTTGGGGTTTGGGCACAGCTGGGCACACCTGGGGGCACCTTGGCACATGTGGGGGCACCTGGGCACACCTGGGCACGCTAAAATGGGGATAAATGGTGAAAATTGGGTAAAAATTGGGCAAAAATGGTGAAAAAATGGAGGTTTTGGCGGGTTTTTAGGGGGGATTTGGGCACACCTGGGCACACCTGGGGGCACCTGGGCACACTAAAATGGGGATAAAGGGTGAAATTTGGGTGAAAAATGGGCAAAATTTTGGGGTTTTGGAGGGAAATTTGGGGTTTGGGCACACCTGGGGGCACCTGGGGGCACCTGGGCACACGTGGGGACAAAAATTGGGTGAAAATTGGGTGAAAAATGGGGAAAAAATGGGGATTTTGGGGGGAACTTTGGGGATTTGGGCACAAATGGGGGCAGGAAAATGGGGATAAATGGTGAAAATTGGGTGAAAATCGATGGAAATTTGGGGGTTTGGGCACAGCTGGGGGCACCTGGGGGCACAAAAATGGGGATAAATGGTGAAAATTGGGTGAAAAATGGGCAAAAAAAAGGATTTTGGGGGGAAATTTGGGGTTTGGGCACACCTGGGGGCACCTGGGGTGGCTCTGGGTTGGTTTCGGGGTTTTTGAGAATTTTGGGGCATTTTTGGGGGTAATTTTGGCATTTTTGGGGCTGATTTTTGGCTATTTTTGTGTGGGTTTTTTTGGCCATTTTTGGGGTTATTTTTTGGCCATTTTTAGGGTTATTTTGGGGTATTTTCGGTGCGTTTTTAACCCTTTCTCTCCCACAGGAAACCCTCCGCACCGCCCCGGCCGTGGCTGATTTTGGGTTATTTTTGGGTTATTTTTGGGTATTTTTGTGCGGATTTTTTTGGGTATTTTTGGGGTAATTTTAAGCCTTTTTTTGGGCCATTTCAGGATATTTTAACCCCTTCCTGCCCACAGGAAACCCTGCGCACCGCCCTGGCCATGGCTGATTTTGGGCTATTTTTGGATTATTTTTGGGTTATTTTTTGTGGGGTTTTTGGGTTATTTTGGGCTGGTTTTGGGGTATTTTTTGGGGTATTTTCGGTCCGTTTTTAACCCCTTCCTGCCCACAGGAAACCCTCCGCACCGCCCCGGCCATGGCTGATTTTGGGTTATTTTTGGGTTATTTTTGGGTATTTTTGTGCGGATTTTTTTGGGTATTTTTGGGGTAATTTTAAGCCTTTTTTTGGGGCCATTTCAGGATATTTTAACCCCTTCCTGCCCACAGGAAACCCTGCGCACCGCCCTGGCCATGGGCGCCGACCGGGCCGTGCTGGCCGAGCTGGCCGAGGGGGCGCCCGCGGGGCCCCGGGAGGTGGCCACGGCCCTGGCGGGGCTGGTGAAGAAACTGCAGCCGCAGCTGGTGCTGCTGGGCAAGCAGGTATTGATCGGTATTGATCGGTTATTGATCACTTATTGATTCCTTATTGATCCCTCATAGAACCCCATAGAATGTTCTAGAACCCTTTACAGGCCCTGGCGGGGCTGGTGAAGAAACTGCAGCCGCAGCTGGTGCTGCGGGGCAAGCAGGGATTGATCGGTATTGATCAGTATTGATTCCTTATTGATTCCAATAAACCCCTATAGATCCCAATGGAACTTTCTAGAACCCCTCTAGATCCCCCACAGACCCCAATAAACCCCTATCGATCCCCTATCGATCGGTTCTGCCCCCCCCCCCCAGGCCATCGATGACGACTGCAACCAGACCGGGCAGCTCCTGGCCGCCATGTTGGACTGGCCGCAGGTAGGCCGCGCGCGCGGGGCATCATGGGATATATTCCCCCCTCATGGGGGGATAAATCCCAGAATCCTCTGCGGTAAATGGGGGGATAAATCCCAGAATCCCTTGCGGTAACGGGGGGATAAATCCCGGCATGGATTGCGGTGGTGGAGCATTGTGGGATATATTCACCCCTAAGTCGCGGGGGATTGTGGGATATATTCACCCCTAAATCGCGGGGGATTGTGGGATATATTCACCCCTAAGTCGCGGGGGATTGTGGGATATATTCACCCCTAAGTCGCAGATAATTGTGGGATATATTCACCCCAAGGCCTGTGAAAATGGGAGGGGGCCCAGTCCATACTGGGAGGGTCCCCAGCCCAAACTGGTCCGATCCCAGCCCAAACTGGTCCGTACTGGTTTCCCCAGGGCACGTTTGCCTCGCGGGTGCAGCTGGAATCCGGCGGCGTGCTGGTGGAGCGCGAGGTGGACGGGGGCCTGGAGACGCTGCGGCTGCGGCTGCCGGCCGTGCTGACGGCGGATCTGAGGCTCAACGAGCCCCGCTACGCCACCCTGCCCAACATCATGGTGAGGGGGCACCCCAAAAATCCCCAACGCTCCCGGGGGGGTCCCCAAAAAACCCCAAAATTCCCAGGAAATTCCCCAAAATTCTGGGGGTTCCCATAGGGTTCAATGGGGGTAGACCTGTTGTCCAGAATGCTGGAGGTCAATGGGAATGGGACCCCCCAAAATTTTATGGGGTTCCCCAAAATTTCTGGGACTCCCCTAAATTTTTGGGTGTTTCACAAATCCCCAGGATCCCCAAATTCCTAAAAAATTCCCAAAATTCCACAAAAATTCCTTTGGTTCCCATAGGGTTCAATGGGGGTAGACCTGTTGTCCGGGATGCCTGGGCTCAATGGGAATGGGATCCCCCCAAAAATTTTATGGGGTTCCCCAAAATTCCTGGGACTCCCCAAATTCCTGGGATCCCCTCAGTCCCCAGGATCCCTAAATTCCTGAGAAATTCCCAAAATCCCCAAAATTCCACAAAAATTCTGGTGGTTCCCATAGGGTTCAATGGGGGCAGACCTGTTGTCCGGGATGCCTGGGGTCAATGGGAATGGGACCCCCCGAAATTTTATGGGGTTCCCCAAAATTCCTGGGATTTCCCTAAATCCTTGGGATCCCCCTAAATCCCCGGGATCCCCCAAATCCCCCAAAACATCCCCAAAAAATCTGAAAAAAAAAAAATTTCTTCAAAAAATCCTGAAAAATCCTCAAAAAATTCCGAAAAAATCTGAAAAAAAAATCCTAAAAAAAATCCCAACATTTCTCTAAAATTTCCCAGTAAATTCCCAATAAATTCCCAATGAATTCCCAATGAAATCCCAAAAATCCCCAATAATTTCCCAGTAAATCCGCAATAATTTACCAATAAATTCCCAATAAATCCCCAATAATTTTCCAATAAAACCCCAATAAATTCCCAATAAATCCCCAATAATTTCCTAATAAATCCCCAATAACTTCCCAAAAATCCCCAATAAATCCCCAATAATTCCCCAATAAATCCCCAATAAATCTCCAATGAATCCCCAATAATTTCCCAATAAATCCCCAATAAATCCCCAATGAATCCCCAATAATTTCCCAAAAATCCCCAATGAATCCCCAATAATTTCCTAATAAATCCCCAGTAATTTCCCAAAAATCCCCAATAAATCCCCAATGAATCCCCAATAATTTCCCGATAATTTCCCAATAAATCCCCAATAATTCCCCAATAATTTCCCGATAATTTCCCAATAAATCCCCAATAATTCCCCAATAATTCCCCAATAATTTCCCAATAATTCCCCGATAATTCCCCAATAATTCTCCAATAAATCCCCAATAAATTCCTGATAAATCCCCAATAAATCCCCAATTTTTATCCCCCCCAGAAAGCCAAGAAGAAGCCCCTGGAGGTGCTCCCGGCCGCCGATCTCGGGGTGCCTGCGGGGCCCCCCCGGCTGAAGGTGCTGCAGGTGCAGGAGCCGCCCCCCAGGGCCGGGGGGGAGAAGGTGGAGAGCGTGGAGAGCCTGCTGGGGAAACTGAGGCACGCCGGCAGGATCTGACACCAGTTCAGACCAGTTCATCCCAGTGACACCCCAGTGCCATCCCCCAGTTCATCCCAGTTTGTTATGGAGAGCCTGCTGGGGAAACTGAGGCACGCCGGCAGGATCTGACACACCAGTGCCTCCCAGTTCATCCCAGTTTGTCCCAGTATAAACCAGTAACACCCCAGTGCCATCCTTGAACCATCCCAGTTCATCCCAGTTGATCCCAGTCCCCTTACTGGGAGAACATCGAGAGCCTGCTGGGGAAACTGAGGCACGCCGGCTGGATCTGAGACCAGTTCATCCCAGTTCATCCCAGTATAACCCAGTTCGTCCCAGTGATGTCCCAGTGCCATCCCCGGTCTGTCCCAGTTTGTCCCACTTCATCCCAGTTCATCCCAGTGTGTCCCAGTTCACCTCAGTGCCTTTCCAGTTCATACAAGTTCATCCCAGTTCATCCCAGTGCTCTCCCAGTTCATCCCAGTTTGTCCCAGTTCATCCCAGTTCGGCCCAGTGCTCTCCCAGTTCACCACAGTGCCTTCCCAGTTCAGATGGGTTCATCCCAGTTCGTCCCAGTCCCTCCCAGTTCATCCCAGTCTGGCCCAGTTCCCCCCAGTGCCTTCCCCCCCCCCCCACCCCAATAAAGGCGTGACCAGTCTATGACGTCATCGCGTTCTGTTGTGGGGGCGTGGCTTCAGGAGGCGGGGGCGGGGCCATACCCTGGCCCAGTTTTACTGGTTTTTACTGGATTTTACTGGTTTTTGCGTGGGTTTTTGCTGCGGGCGAGTCCCAGTACAAACCAGTTCGGCGCTGGAGGGGTCCCAGCGCGTCCCAGTTTGTCCCAGTTCGGCCCCCAGTTTGTCCCAGTATAATCCAGTCTGTCCCAGTTCAGGCCCTGGTGGGTCCCAGTTTGTCCCAGTACAACCCAGCGAGTCCCAGTCCCATCCCAGGGGATTCCGGTCTGTCCCAGTATGAGCCAGCGGCTCCCAGTCCGTCCCAGTTCGTCCCAGTTTGTCCCAGTTCGTCGCCGGCGCCTCCGCGTTGCCCAGCAACGCCTCGCCCCGCCCCCAGCGCTGTCAATCACCCGCGTCGCCCAATCACAGCGCGATTCACCGCGCCGTCCGCATGGGCGGGCCTTCACCTGACAGGCAGCGCTCTGAACCAATGGGAAGACGCGGCGGGAGGGCGCTGTGGCAGCGCGGACCAATCAGCGGCGCGGAAGCCCTGCAGGAGCGGAGCGGGCGGCCCCGTGCGGCCCCTCAGAGCCGGGGCGGCGGCGGCGGCGAAGATGGCGGCGGCGGACGGCGACGATTCGCTTTACCCCATCGCGGTGCTCATCGACGAGCTCCGCAACGAGGACGTGCAGGTACCGCTACCGGGACCTCGCCGCGATACCCCCGGGGCCTTTCCGGGGTTTCGGGGCCCCTTCCATGGCCACCGGGGCCCGGTCGCCATCGCCCCGCTGGTCCGAGGCCCCGCTGCTGATGGCCGCCATGAGATGGCCTCGCTGATTGGTTGAGGCGTCCCGGTCCCCTCAGGCGCGGGCGAATGGGCGGCGGCGTTACATGTGTGGGGCCGTTGGGGGGGGTTGCGGTGAAAGGCGCGTTCTGATTGGCTGGAGGGGCGGTTTGGGGCTGTAACGGTCGTTCTGATTGGTCTGCAGCGCGCTGAGGGGGTGGGGGGACCTGCCCCGCCCGCCGCAGCGCCCCCTAGCGGCGGGGTAGCGCGGCTCCCTCCTGGCCGCAGCCAATGGCAGCGCGAGGCCGCGGCAGCGCCGCTCTCCATTGGCTGCCGCCTTCATGGGCGGGGCTTATCGGAACCAATCGTGGGCCTCCTCTCTGCCGCGGCGCCGCTGCAGAGCCGTGAAACGCCGCACCTGATTGGCCGCGGCGCGTTGTGGGCGGGGCTTCCTCATGAGGGGGGCGATTCCCGCCCTTTTCTACCCCAGATTTTCCCCTTTATTTTCCTAAATTTTCCTGAATTCCCCCCATTTTCCCTTCCCAGCTGCGCCTCAACAGCATCAAGAAGCTCTCAACCATCGCGCTGGCGCTGGGCGTGGAGCGAACCCGCAGCGAGCTCCTCCCTTTCCTCACCGGTACCGAAATTTGAGGGGAGTGGCCCAGAACTTGAGGGGAAATTGCCAAAACTTGAGGGGAAACTCCCAAAATTTGAGGGGAAACTCCCAGAATTTGAGGGGAAACTCCCAGAATTTGAGGGAAAACTCCTAAAATTGAGGGGAAATTCTCAAAATTTAAGGAAAAATTCCCAAAATTTGTGGGAGAGGGATCCTCAGAGTCCACATGGCGGCGGGGAGGTCCCAAAATCCCCCTAAAAACGCCAAAAATCGCCCGGATTTTGGATTTTGGGCGGGGTTTTTTTGAGGTGGGCGGGGCCTGGGGGATGATTGACAGGTGCCAGAGGGACAGGTGAGTGACAGGTGTGTCGCCTGTGCTGTCACAGACACCATCTACGATGAGGACGAGGTGCTGCTGGCACTGGCGGAGCAGCTGGGCACCTTCACCGCCCTCGTGGGGGGACCCGAGTTCGTGCACTGCCTGCTGGTAGGGGGGAAAACTCACCTGGGGAGGGGCAAAAATACACCTGGGGGGCAAAAAAGTACACCTGGGGGGGTAAAAATACACCTGGGGGGGGTAAAAACTCACCTGAAGGGGTAAAAATACACCTGGGGGGGGGTAAAAACTCACCTGGGGAGGGGTAAAAATACACCTGGGGGGCAAAAAAATACACCTGGGGGGGTAAAAATACACATTGGGGGGGTAGAAACACACCTAGGGGGCAGAGAAAGTCCCCTAGGGGGCAAAAAAATACATCTAGGGGGCTCAAAAACTCACCTGGGGGGTAAAAAATGCACCTGGGGAGGGGTAAAAATACACATTGAGGGGGTAAAAATACACCTGGGGGGGTAAAAATACACCTGGGGGGGTAGAAACACACCTGGGAGGTAAAAAATGCACATGGGGACCAGCTGGGGGGGGACAAAAACACACCTGGGGAACCCCGAAAGCTCACCTGGGAGGGTAAAAATACACCTGGGTAACCACAAAACTCACCTTGGGGGGGGCAGAAAAACTCACCTGGGGGGTGAAAAATACACACTGAGGGGGTAAAAACTCACCTGGGGAACATCTAGGGGGGGTTAAAAACAAACCTGGGGGGGATAAAAACACACCTAGGGGGCAAAAAACTCACTTGGGGGGACAAAAATGCGCCTGGGGAGCACCTGGGGGGGGTAAAAATACACCTGGGGGGGTAAAAATACACCTGAGAGGAGAGAAATACACCTGGAGAACACCTGGGGGGGTAAAAATACACATTGAGGGGGTAAAAATGTACCTGGAGGGGCAAAAATGCACCTGGCAGGGGTAAAAAATGCACATGGGGAACAGCTGGGGGGGGACAAAAACACACCTGGGGGGGGTAAAAACCCACCTGGGGAACATCTGGGGGGTAAAAACCCACCTGGGGAACCTCAAAATGCACCTGGAGAACATCAAAGCACACCTGGGGGGGGTTAGGACACACCTGGGGGCTCGGAACCCCCGTCCTGTGTCCGTCCCCTGTCCGTCCGTCTGTCCGTGCTGTGTTCCTGTGTCCATCCCGTGTCCATCTGACCACCCTGTGTCCATCTGACCACCCTCTGTCCATTTGTCCATCCTACGTCCATCTGTCCATCCCATGTTCCTGTGTCCATCCAATGTTCATCTGTCCACCCTGTGTCCGTCTGACCACCCCGTGTCCGTCTGACCCACCCTGTGTCCATCTGTCCACCCTGTGTCCATCTGACCACCCCGTATCCGTCTGACCCACCCTGTGTCCATCTGTCCACCCTGTGTCCATCTGTCCACCCTGTGTCCATCTGACCACCCTGTGTCCACCTTCCCATCCCATGTTCCTCTGTGTATCCCACATCCATCTCTCTGTCCAGTGTCCACCTGACCACCCTGTGTCCACCTGCCTGTCCCATGTTCCTCTGCCCATCCCATGTCCACCTGACCATCCCTCATTCATCTGACCACCTTGTGTCCATCTGACCATGCTGTGTCCATCTGTCCATCCCATGTTCCTCTGTCCCTCCCTTGTTCCTCTGACCATGCTGTGTCCACCTGTCCACCCCATGTTCCTCTGACCATGCTGTGTCCATCTGTCCACCCCATGTTCCTCTGACCATGCTGTGTCCACCTGTCCACCCCATGTTCCTCTGACCATGCTGTGTCCATCTGTCCACCCCATGTTCCTCTGACCATCCTGTGTCCATCTGTCCACCCCATGTTCCTCTGCCCATCCCATGTCCACTTGCCCATCCCGTGTCCATCTGTCCACCCTGTGTCCATCTGTCCACCCTGTGTCCATCTGACCACCCTGTGTCCGTCTGACCCACCCTGTGTCCATCTGACCACCCTGTGTCCATCTGTCCACCCCATGTTCCTCTGCCCATCCCATGTCCACTTGCCCATCCTGTGTCCATCTGACCACCCTGTGTCCATCTGTCCACCCTGTGTCCATCTGACCACCCTGTGTCCACCTTCCCATCCCATGTTCCTCTGTGTATCCCACATCCATCTCTCTGTCCAGTGTCCATCTGACCACCCTGTGTCCACCTGCCTGTCCCATGTTCCTCTGCCCATCCCATGTCCACCTGACCATCCCTCATTCATCTGACCACCTTGTGTCCATCTGACCATGCTGTGTCCATCTGTCCATCCCATGTTCCTCTGTCCACCCCATGTTCCTCTGACCATCCTGTGTCCATCTGTCCACCCCATGTTCCTCTGACCATGCTGTGTCCATCTGTCCACCCCATGTTCCTCTGACCATGCTGTGTCCATCTGTCCATCCCATGTTCCTCTGTCCCTCCCTTGTTCCTCTGACCATGCTGTGTCCATCTGTCCACCCCATGTTCCTCTGACCATCCTGTGTCCATCTGTCCACCCCATGTTCCTCTGACCATCCTGTGTCCATCTGTCCACCCCATGTTCCTCTGACCATCCTGTGTCCATCTGTCCACCGCATGTTCCTCTGCTCATCCCATGTCCACTTGCCCATCCTGTGTCCATCTGACCACCCTGTGTCCACCTTTCCACCCCATGTTCCTTTGACCACCCAGTGTCCATCCCATCTCAATTTCCCTACCCGATGTCCATCTGTCCACCTGTCCACTCACTGTCCATCTGTCCGTGTGCCCGCAGCCGCCGCTGGAGAGCCTGGCCACGGTGGAGGAGACGGTGGTGCGGGACAAGGCGGTGGAGTCGCTGCGGGCCGTGTCCCACGAGCACTCGCCGCCGGACCTCGAGGGTCACTTCGTGCCGCTGGTCAAGCGCCTGGCCGGGGGCGACTGGTTCACGTCGCGCACCTCGGCCTGCGGCCTCTTCAGCGTCTGCTACCCCCGCGTGTCCAGCCCCGTCAAGGCCGAGCTGCGCCAGTGAGTGACCGCGGGGGCGGTGGGGTGACCATGGGGTCATTGGGGTGACCATGGGGTCAGTGGGGTGACCGCGGGGGCGGTGGGGTGACCGCGGGGTCAGTGGGGTGACCATGGGGTCAGTGGGGTGACCGCGGGGGCGGTGGGGTGACCATGGGGTCAGTGGGGTGACCATGGGGTCAGTGGGGTGACCACAGGGTCATTGTGGTGACCATGGGGTCAGTGGAGTGACCGCAGGGGCAGCAGGGTGACCATGGGGTCATTGGGGTGACCATGGGGTCAGTGGGGTGACCACAGGGTCATTGTGGTGACCATGGGGTCAGTGGAGTGACCACAGGGTCATTGGGGTGACCGCAGGGTCATTGGGGTGACCATGGGGTCATTGAGGTGACCATGGGGTCAGTGGGGTGACCATGGGGTCATTGTGGTGACCATGGGGTCAGTGGGGTGACCGCAGGATCATTGGGGTGACCAGTCCGTCCTTGGGGTCAGTGAGGTGACCACACTGTCACCAACCCATCCCAGGTGTGCCCAGGTGTGCCCAGGTGTGCCCGCAGGTTCTCCCAGATGCCCTTAGATGACCCTTAGGTGATCCCTAGATGGACCTGGGCCGTAGCCAGGTATGCCAGGTGTACCCAGGTGTACCCAGGTGTACCCAGGTGTGCCCAGGTGCCCCCCAGGCATTCTCAGGTGCCCCCCGGGTGTGCCCAGGTAATGCGGGTGTGCCCAGGTAACGCAGGTTTGCCCGCAGGTACTTCCAGATGCCCTTAGGTGTGTCAGGGCCATACTCAGGTGCCCCTTAGGTGTACCCAGGTGTGCCCAGGTAACGCAGGTGTGCCCGCAGGTACTCCCAGATGCCCTCAGGTGACCCTTAGGTGTATCAGGGCCATACTCAGGTGTACCCAAGTGCCCCCCAGGTGTACTCAGGTGTGCCCAGGTAACTCAGGTGTGCCCGCAGGTACTTCCAGATGCCTTTAGGTGTATCTGGGCCATACCCAGCCATACTCAGGTGCCCCTCAGCTGTACCCAGCTGTACCCAGGTGCCCCCCAGGTGTGCCCAGGTAACGCAGGTGTGCCCACAGGCACTCCCAGATGCCCTTAGGTGTATCAGGGCCATACTCAGGTGTACCCAGGTGCCCCCCAGGCATTCTCAGGTGCCCCTCAGGTGTGCCCAGGTAACTCAGGTGTGCCCGCAGGTACTTCCGGAACCTGTGCTCGGACGACACGCCCATGGTGCCCATAGCCACAGACCCTTAGGTGACCTGTAGGTGTACCCAGGTGACCCTAGGCCATACCCAGGTGCCCCCAGGTGTGCCCAGGTAACTCAGGTGTGCCCGCAGGTACTTCCGGAACCTGTGCTCGGACGACACGCCCATGGTGCGGCGCGCGGCCGCCTCCAAGCTGGGCGAGTTCGCCAAGGTGCTGGAGCTGGAGCACGTCAAGAGCGAGATCATCCCCATGTTCTCCAACCTGGCCTCGGACGAGCAGGTACGGCGCACCCGGGCACACCTGGGCACACCTGGGTACACCTGGGCACACCGGGGTACACCTGGGCGGGTTTGGGGGCACCTGGTGGGGGTTTGGGCGCACACAGATCATCCCCATGTTCTCCAACCTGGCCTTGGACAAGCAGGTACGGCACACCTGGGCACACCTGGGCACACCTGGGCACACCTGGGGGGGGGTTTGGGCACACCTGGGTACACCTGGGCGGGGTTTGGGCACCCACAGATCATCCCCATGTTCTCCAACCTGGCCTCGGACGAGCGGGTACGGCACACCTGGGCACACCTGGGCACACCTGGGGGGGGGTTTGGGCACACCTGGGTACACCTGGGCGGGGTTTGGGCACCCACAGATCATCCCCATGTTCTCCAACCTGGCCTCGGACAAGCAGGTACAGGCGCACCTGGGCACACCTGGGGGGCACCTAGGGGTCATCTGAATTGTCCTGTGGCCTACCTGGGCATACCTGGGGGGGTCATCTGGATATTCCTGGGCTCACCTGTGCCCACCTGTGCCCACCTGCGCAGGACTCGGTGCGGCTGCTGGCGGTGGAGCCGTGCATTGGGGGTTTATCTCAGGGTTATCTCGGGGTTATCTCAGGGTTACCTGGGGGTTACGTGGGGCTCACCTGTGCCCACCTGTGCCCACCTGTTCAGGACTCGGTGCGGCTGCTGGCGGTGGAGCCGTGCATTGGGGGTTTATCTCAGGGTTATCTCTGGGTTATTTGGGGGTTATCTGTGACTCATTGGGGGATTACCTGTGCCCACCTGTGCCCACCTGTGCCCACCTGTGCCATGTCTCACCTGCGCAGGACTCGGTGCGGCTGCTGGCGGTGGAGCCGTGCGTTGGGCGTTCACTATGGGGTTTATCTCAGGGTTGTCTCAGGGTTATCTCAGGGTTATCTCTGGATTATTTGGGGGATATTTGGGGCTCACCTGCGCCCACCTGCGCCCACCTGCGCAGGACTCGGTGCGGCTGCTGGCGGTGGAGCCGTGCGTTGGGGGTTTATCTCAGGGTTATCTCTGGGTTATTTGGGGGTTATCTGTGACTCATTGGGGGATTACCTGTGCCCACCTGTGCCCACCTGCGCCCACCTGCGCCCACCTGCGCAGGACTCGGTGCGGCTGCTGGCGGTGGAGGCGTGCGTGAGCATCGCGCAGCTGCTGCCGCAGGAGGAGCTCGAGGGGCTGGTGATGCCCACGCTGCGCCAGGCGGCCGAGGACAAGTCGTGGCGCGTGCGCTACATGGTGGCCGACAAGTTCACCGAGGTGGGCGGCGCACCTGGGCGGCGCACCTGGGCGGCGCACCCGGGGGGGGGCGAGAAAATGGGGATGAACGGTGAAAATTGGGTGAAAGTCGATGGAAATTTGGGGGTTTTGGGAGGGAAAATTGGGAATTTGGGCACGCCTGGGGGGCACACCTGGGGGACGCACCTGGGCACACAAAAATGGGGATAAACAGTGAAATTTGGGGGTTTTGGGAGGGAAAATTGGGAATTTGGGCACACCTGGGCGCACCTGGGCGCACCTGGGGATGGGTTTGGGGGGGTTTGAGGGAGTTTGGGATGGGTTTGGGGGGATTTGGTGACTCTGGGAGATGTTTGGGGATGCACCTGGGCACACCTGGGCACACCTGGGACATACCTGGGGAACACGTGGGCACACCTGTGGCACAACTGGACACACCTGGGGCACATCTGGACATACCTGGAGCACACCTGGACAAACCTGGGCACACCTGGGACACACCTGGACACATCTGGAACACACCTGGACGCACCTGGACACACCTGGGGCACACCTGGGGCACACCTGGACACACCTGGGGCACACCTGAACACACCTGGATACACCTGGGGCACACCTGGACCCACTTGGGTCACACCTTGACGCACCTGGGACACACCTGGGCACACCTGGATACACCTAGCACACACCTGGACACACCTGGGCACACCTGTGACACACATGGGCACACCTGGCATACACCTGGGCACACCTGAACCCACCTGGGACACACCTGGGCACACCTGGACCCACTTGGGTCACACTTGGCACACACCTGTGCACACATGGGCACACCTGGGCACACCTGGGGCACACCTGCACACACTTGGGTCACACCTGGCACACACCTGTGCCACACCTGTGCCCCCCCCGCAGCTGCAGCGCGCCGTGGGCCCCGAGATCACCAAGACCGACCTGGTGGGCGCCTTCCAGAGCCTGATGAAGGACTGCGAGGCCGAGGTGCGCGCCGCCGCCTCCCACAAGGTCAAAGGTCAGCGGCCACGCCCACCCCCGGTCCCCAAAATGACCCCAAAGCCGCGGCCTCGGTGTCACCGACCCGATTCCGGTGGTTTTGGACCCAAATTTGGTGTTTTCTCCTGGCGTCCCCAGAGTTCTGCGAGAACCTGTCCCCCGACTGCCGCGAGGCCGTGATCATGGGCCAGATCCTGCCCTGCATCAAGGTGAGCGCCCGCAGCGCACCTGGGCACACCTGGGGGCACCTGGGATACACCTGGGGACAGCTATAACATACCTGGGCACACCTGCGGACACCTGGGGGCACCTGGGATACACCTGGGGGCACCTGGGCACACCTGGGGGCACCTGGGATACACCTGGGCACACCTGGGGGCACCTGGGCACACCTGGGGGCACCTGGGATACATCTGGGATACACCTGGGCACACCTGGGGGCATCTGGGCACACCTGGGGACACCCAAAATACACCTGGGGGCACCTGGGCACACCTGGGGGCACCCAAAATACACCTGGGCACAACTGGGGGCACCTGGGATACACCTGGGGACAGCTATAACATACCTGGGCACACCTGCGGACACCTGGGGGCACCTGGGCACACCTGGGCACACCTGGGGGCACCTGGGCACACCTGGGATACACCTGGGATACATCTGGGATACACCTGGGCACACCTGGGGGCATCTGGGCACACCTGGGGGCACCCAAAATACACCTGGGCACAACTGGGGACACCTGGGGGCACCTGGGCACACCTGGGATACACCTGGGGGCACCCAAAATACACCTGGGCACAACTGGGGACACCTGGGATACACCTGGGGCCATCTGGGCACGCCTTGTGGGCACAGGTGGCCTCAGAGCCACCCTGAGCCTTTCTCCGAGGCCAGGTGATCTCACCTGCGCCCACCTGTACCCACCTGTGCCCACCTGGGCAGGATGGGGACACACCTGGGACACACCTGGACACACCTGGGTTGGTGTATCGCTTTGGGGACACCTTTGGTCGCATCCTGGTGGCCTCAGAGCCTCTCCCCGAGGCCAGGTGAGCTCACCTGTGCCCACCTGTGCCCACCTGCGCAGGAGCTGGTGTCGGACGCCAACCAGCACGTGAAGTCGGCGCTGGCCTCGGTGATCATGGGGCTGTCGCCGATCCTGGGCAAGGACAACACGGTGGAACACCTGCTGCCCCTGTTCCTGGCACAGCTCAAGGACGAGGTGAGCGCACCTGGGCACACCTGGGCACACCTGGGCACTGATAGAGAGACATAGAACTCACAGAAACACATGGAGTTATACGGGGGTACACCTGGGCACACACCTGGGCACGCAATGCACTCCCAGTGTTTTCGCAGCTCCCCCTGGTGGTGATTCTGTGAACTGCAGCTTCTTCCCAGTAACTCCCAGTCCATCCCAGTCCATCCCAGTCCATCCCAGTCCCTCCCAGTCGCTTCCAGTAACTCCCAGTCCATCCCAGTTCATCCCAGTCCCTCCCAGTCCCTCCCAGTGCCCTGTCAGTCATTCCCAGTCCCTCCCAGTAACTCCCAGTTGCTCCCAGTTCCCCCCAATGCATTCCCAGTGTTTTTGCAGCTCCCCCTGGTGGCGACTCTGTGAACTGCAGCTTCCTCCCAATAAATCCCAGTAACTCCCAGTTCATCCCAGTCATTCCCAGTATATCCCAGTAACTCCCAGTGTGTCCCAGTGCCCTCCCAGTCCCTCCCAGTCCATCCCAGTCCCTCCCAGTCCATCCCAGTCCCCCCAATCTCCTCCCAGTCGCTCCCAGTTCTCCCCAATGCACTCCCAGTATTTTCTCAGCTCCCTCTGGTGGCGACTCTGTGAACTGCAGCTTTCTCCCAGTCCCTCCCAGTCCATCCCAGTCCCTCCCAGTCCCTCCCAGTCCATCCCAGTGCCCTCTCAGTCATTCCCAGTCCCTCCCAGTCGCTCCCAGTTCCCCCCAATGCATTCCCAGTGTTTTCGCATCTCCCCCTGGTGGCGACTCTGTGAACTGCAGCTTCCTCCCAGTCCCTCCCAGTCCCTCCCAGTCCCTCCCAGTCCCTCCCAGTCATTCCCAGTAACTCCCAGTCGCTCCCAGTGCCCTCCCAGTAACTCCCAGTGTGTCCCAGTGCCCCGAGGTGCGGCTGAACATCATCTCCAACCTGGACTGCGTCAACGAGGTGATCGGCATCCGGCAGCTCTCGCAGTCGCTGCTGCCGGCCATCGTGGAGCTGGCCGAGGACGCCAAGTGGAGGGTGCGGCTGGCCATCATCGAGTACATGCCGCTGCTGGCCGGCCAGCTGGTGAGACTGGGACGGACTGGGATAAACTGGGAGGCACTGGGAGGCACTGGGAGGCACTGGGAGAAGACTGGAGCAATGTATGGGGCACCGGAGTGGAGTTATGGGCTTGTGTGGGCTCGTATGGGGGCACTGGGATGGACTGGGAGGCATTGGGATGGACTGGGAGGGGACTGGGCTGGACTGGGATATACTGGGATGGACTGGGAGAGGGCTGGGAGGCACTGGGATGGACTGGGAGGGAGTTCCAGCCCTGTATGGGGGCACTGGGATATACTGGGAGGCACTGGGAGAAGACTGGAGCCGTGTATGGGGCACCGGAGTGGAGTTATGAGCTTGTATGGGGGCACTGGGATGGACTGGGAGGGGACTGGGATGGGACTGGGTTATACTGGGAGGCACTGGGGAAGGGCTGGGAGGGACTGGGATATACTGGGAGAGGGTTGGAGGGCACTGGGAGAAACTGGGATATACTGGGAGAGAGTTAGAGACTTGTATGGGGTTCTGGAATGGAGTTACAGCTTTGTATGGGAGCACTGGGATGGACTGGGAGATACTGGGAGGGGACTGGGATGGACTGGGATATACTGGGAGGGACTGGGATGGACTGGGATATACTGGGATATACTGGGATGGACTGGGATATACTGGGAGGCACTGGGAGGGAGTTCCAGCCCTGTATGGGGGCACTGGGATATACTGGGATATACTGGGAGAGAGCTGGGAGGGACTAGTATGGACTGGGAGGGACTGGGATGAGACTGGGGTATACTGGGAGGGGACTGGGATGTACTGGGATATACTGGGAGGGACTGGGATATACTGGGAAGGGACTGGGACAGACTGGAAGGTACTGGGATAGACTGGGATGGACTGGGAGGGGTTTTTCCTTACTGGTTTATGTGGCTGTGTACTGGTTTATACTGGTGTGTACTGGTCTACATTGGTTTGTACTGGTTTGTACTGGTGTGTACTGGTCTACATTGGTTTGTACTGGTTTGTACTGGTGCGTACTGGTTTACATTGGTTTAAATTGGTCCGTGGCGACGTAGCTTGTTTTATACTGGTTTATACTGGTTTGTACTGGTTTACCTTGGTTTAAACCGGTCCGTAGCGATGTAGGTTGGTTTATACTGGTCCGTACTGGTTTATACTGGTTTATATTGGCTTATACTGGTTTATAGTGCTTTGTACTGGTTTATACTGGTCCTTACTGGTTGATAGTGGTCCATACTGATCTATACTGGTTTATACTGGTCCTTATTGGTCCATACTGGTTTGTACTGGTCCTTACTGGTATATACTGATTTATACTGGTGTATACTGGTCCTTACTGGTTCATAATGGTTTATACTGGTCCATACTGGTTTGTACTGGTTTATACTGGTCCATACTGGTCCTTACTGGTCTCTCCCCCCCCAGGGCGTGGAGTTCTTCGATGAGAAGCTGAACTCGCTCTGCATGGCCTGGCTGGTGGATCACGGTACTGGGACAGACTGGGACAAACTGGGACAAACTGGGAGGGACTGGGATGGACTGGGATGGACTGGGAGGGACTGGGACAAACTGGGACAGACTGGGAGGGACTGGGACAAACTGGGACAAACTGGGACAAACTGGGAGGGACTGGGAGGGGATTAGGAGGGACTGGTTCCAACGGGTTTATACTGGTCCATATTGGTCTGAACTGGTCCTAACTGGTCCGTACTGGTTCATACTGGTTTGTACTGGTTTATACTGGTCCTAACTGGTTTACACTGGTTTATACTGGTCCGTACTGGTCCGTACTGGTCCGTACTGGTTTATACTGGTTTATACTGGTTTATACTGGTGTGAACTGGTTTATACTGGTCCGTACTGGTTTATACTGGTATATACTGGTTTATACTGGTTTATACTGGCCCTAACTTGTCCATACTGGTCCATACTGGTCCGTACTGGTATATACTGGTTTATACTGGTTTATACTGGCCCGTACTGGTTTATACTGGTTTATACTGGTCCGTACTGGTTTATACTGGTATATACTGGTCTATACTGGTCCGTACTGGTGCTAACCGGTCCGCACTGGTTTCCCGGCAGTGTACGCCATCCGCGAGGCCGCCACCAGTAACCTGCGCAAGCTGGTGGAGCGCTTCGGGCACACCTGGGCGCAGGGCACCATCGTGCCCAAGGTGCTGGCCATGGCCGCCGACCCCAACTACCTGCACCGCATGACCACGCTCTTCTGCATCAACGTGGGTACCTGGGCACACCTGGGGGCACCTGGGATACACCTGGGTACAGCCACAACACACCTGGGTACACCTGAGAGGGACAGGAACACACCTGGGCACACCTGGGGGCACCTGGGATACACCTGGGTACAGCCACAACACACCTGGGTACACCTGGGCACACCTGGGTACAGCCACAACACACCTGGGGGCACCTGGGCACACCTGGGTACAGCCACAACACACCTGGGTACACCTGAGAGGGACAGGAACACACCTGGGCACACCTGGGGGCACCTGGGATACACCTGGGTACAGCCACAGTACACCTGGGTACACCTGGGCACACCTGGGTACAGCCACAACGCACCTGGGTACAGCTGGGTACAACCGTGGCACACCTGGGCACACCTGAGAGGGACAGGAACACATCTGGGCACACCTGGGTATGAGCAATGGTTGTCCCCAATCCCTGTCCATGTCTCACCTGTCCCATCTCACCTGTCCATGTCTCACCTGTCCATATCTCAGCTGGCCATATCACACCTGTCCATGTCCCACCTGTCCATGTCTCACCTGTCCATATCTCAGCTGCCCATGTCACACCTGTCCCATGTCCCACCTGTATCTCACCTGTCCAGGTGCTGTCGGAGGTGTGTGGCCAGGAGGTGACCACCACGCAGATGCTGCCCATGGTGTAGAGCAGATCCCATCACACCTGTTCATATCTCACATACCAGACCTGTCCCATATCACACCTGTCCATGTCTCACCTGTCCATGTCTCACCTGCCCAGGTGCTCTCTGAGGTGCACGGCCAGGAGGTCACCACCACGCAGATGCTGCCCATGGCCCATCACACCTGTCCCGTATCACACCTGTCCCATATCTCACATATCTCACCTGTCCCATCACACCTGTCCCATATCTCACCTGTCTCACCTGTATCTCACCTGTCCAGGTGTTATCCGAGGTGTGCGGCCAGGAGGTCACCACCACGCAGATGCTGCCCATGGCCCATCACACCTGTCCCGTATCACACCTGTCCCATATCTCACATATCTCACCTGTCCCATCACACCTGTCCCATATCTCACCTGTCTCACCTGTCCGTGTCTCACCTGTCCAGGTGCTCTCCGAGGTGTGCGGCCAGGAGGTCACCACCACGCAGATGCTGCCCATGGCCCATCACACCTGTCCCGTATTTCACATATCTCACCTGTCCATGTCCCATATCTCACCTGTCTCACCTGTGTCTCACCTGTCCAGGTGTTATCCGAGGTGTGCGGCCAGGAGGTCACCACCACGCAGATGCTGCCCACCGTGCTCCGCATGGCCGCCGACGCCGTGGCCAACGTGCGCTTCAACGTGGCCAAGTCGCTGCAGCGCATCGGGCCCATCCTGGACAGCGGGTACTGGGCTATACTGGTTTATACTGGGTTATACTGGGTTATACTGGGTTATACTGGGTTATACTGGTTTGCACTGGTTTGTACTGGGAGCGCTGGTTTGGAGTGGTTATAGTGGGTTATAATGGGTTATACTGGTTTATACTGGTTTATACTGGGTTATACTGGTTTGTACTGGTTTATACTGGTTCTTACTGGTTTGTACTGGTTTGTACTGGGAGCACTGGTTTGGGGTGGTTTATACTGGTTTATACTGGTTTGAAGTGGTTATAGTGGGTTATAATGGGTTATACTGGTTTATACTGGTTATACTGGTGCGGCTGCAGCGCATCGGGCCCATCCTGGACAGCGGGTGCTGGGTTATACTGGTTTATACTGGGTTATACTGGTTTTATTGGGTTTTAATGGTTTATACTGGTTTATACTGGTTTATACTGGGAGCACTGGTTTGGGGTGGTTTGTAGTGGGTTATACTGGTTTATACTGGTTCATACTGGTTTATACTGGTTCATACTGGGCTATACTGGTTTATACTGGTTTATACTGGTTCATACTGGGTTATACTGGTTTATACTGGGTTATACTGGCTTGCACTGGTTTGTACTGGGAGCGCTGGTTTGGAGTGGTTATAGTGGGTTATAGTGGTTTATACTGGTTCATACTGGTTCATACTGGTTCATACTGGGTTATACTGGTTTATACTGGTTTATACTGGGTTATACTGGTTTGTACTGGAAAACTGATTTATACTGGTTTTACTGGGTTATATTGGTTATACTGGTTTAGGTCCCACACCTGTCTCACCTGTCCTTATCTCACCTGTCCATGTCTCACCTGTCCATGTCTCACCTGTCCCATCTCACCTGTCCCATCTCACCTGTCCCATATCTCACCTGTCCTATCTCACCTGTCCATGTCTCACCTGTCCCATCTCACCTGTCCCATCTCACCTGTCCCATCTCACCTGTCCTTATCTCACCTGTCCTTATCTCACCTGTCCCATCTCACCTGTCCCATCTCACCTGTCCTTATCTCACCTGTCCTTATCTCACCTGTCCCATATCTCACCTGTCCATATCTCACCTGTCCCATCTCACCTGTCCATATCTCACCTGTCCTTATCTCACCTGTCCCATCTCACCTGTCCCATCTCACCTGTCCTATCTCACCTGTCCCATCTCACCTGTCCTTATCTCACCTGTCCTTATCTCACCTGTCCCATCTCACCTGTCCCATATCTCACCTGTCCATATCTCACCTGTCCCATCTCACCTGTCCCATCTCACCTGTCCCATCTCACCTGTCCCATATCTCACCTGTCCTATCTCACCTGTCCATATCTCACCTGTCCCATCTCACCTGTCCCATATCTCACCTGTCCATATCTCACCTGTCCCATCTCACCTGTCCCATATCTCACCTGTCCTATCTCACCTGTCCTATCTCACCTGTCCCATCTCACCTGTCTCATATCTCACCTGTCCTTATCTCACCTGTCCCATCTCACTTGTCCCATATCTCACCTGTCCTTATCTCACCTGTCCCATCTCACCTGTCCCATCTCACCTGTCCTTATCTCACCTGTCCTTATCTCACCTGTCCCATATCTCACCTGTCCATATCTCACCTGTCCCATCTCACCTGTCCATATCTCACCTGTCCTTATCTCACCTGTCCCATCTCACCTGTCCCATCTCACCTGTCCTATCTCACCTGTCCCATCTCACCTGTCCTTATCTCACCTGTCCTTATCTCACCTGTCCCATCTCACCTGTCCCATATCTCACCTGTCCATATCTCACCTGTCCCATCTCACCTGTCCCATCTCACCTGTCCCATCTCACCTGTCCCATATCTCACCTGTCCTATCTCACCTGTCCATATCTCACCTGTCCCATCTCACCTGTCCCATATCTCACCTGTCCATATCTCACCTGTCCCATCTCACCTGTCCCATATCTCACCTGTCCTATCTCACCTGTCCTATCTCACCTGTCCCATCTCACCTGTCTCATATCTCACCTGTCCTTATCTCACCTGTCCCATCTCACTTGTCCCATATCTCACCTGTCCTTATCTCACCTGTCCCATCTCACCTGTCCCATCTCACCTGTCCTTATCTCACCTGTCCCATATCTCACCTGTCCCATCTCACCTGTCTCACCTGTCAGGACGCTGCAGACGGAGGTGAAGCCGGTGCTGGAGAAGCTGACGCAGGACCAGGACGTCGACGTCAAATATTTCGCTCAGGAGGCGCTGACAGGTGAGGGCACACCTGGGACAGGTGAGGGCACACCTGGAAGGACATGGGACACACCTGGGGACACCTGTGATACCTGGGAGGGCACTTGGGGGGACCTGGGCACACCTGGGCATACCTGGGACAGGTGGGGGACACCTGGGGGGGAATTTGGGACACCTGGGGTACACCTGGGGACACTTGGGCACACCTGGGCACACCTGGGACAGGTTTGGGGACACCTGGGGACAGCTGGGCACACCTGGGACAGGTGGGACAGGTGAGGGGAAGACCTGGGGACAGGTGAGGGACACACCTGGGGACACCTGGGGAGAGCTGGGGACACCTGGGACAGGTGAGGGGAACACCTGGGATATACCTGGGGGCAGCTGGGCACACCTGGGGGGGATTTGGGAGACCTGGGACACACCTGCGGGGACACCTGGGCACACCTGGAAGGACATGGGACACACCTGGGGACACCTGTGATACCTGGGAGGGCACTTGGGGGGACCTGGGCACACCTGGGCATACCTGGGACAGGTGGGGGACACCTGGGGGGGAATTTGGGACACCTGGGGTACACCTGGGGACACTTGGGCACACCTGGGCACACCTGGGAGGGCTTGGGGCACATCTGGGCACACCTGGGGAGGCACCTGGGATACACCTGGGACATATCTGAGGGACTTGGGGGGACACCTGGGCACACCTGAGACACCTGGGCACACCTGTGGGGACAAAGAGGGGATACTGAGGGACTTGGGTGGGGCACCCAGGTGTGCCCAGGTGTGTCCCAGGTGTGCCCAGGTGTGTCTCAGGTGCCCCCAGGTGTATTTTGGGTGCCCCCAGGTGTATCTCAGGTGTGCCCAGGTGTGTCTCAGGTGCCCCCAGGTGTATTTTGGGTGCCCCCAGGTGTGCCCAGGTGCCCCCAGGTAACCCCCGTTTCTCTCTCTCCCCTCCCCCGCAGTGCTGGCGCTGGCCTGACCCCGCCCCCCCCCGGGCCCCTCCCCCCGCATGAACCGGAGCTGCGACCGCCCCTCCCCCACCGCCACCCCTCCCCCCCCGCCCCTCCCCCACCCCGCTGTTGGTTCATCAACTTCTTAATTAATTAATTAACGATGATTTCGCCGTTAATAAAAACCACAACAACGAGGAGGCTCCGGTGTCGTTTATTTATTAATTAATTGGGGGGGGAGGGGCCAGCGCGGGTCACGTGGTGCGAGGCATTAATTAAATTTTAATTAAATTGAATTTTTAAAAAAATTCGGGAGCAGCGGGAGGCTGCTGAGGGGAGGTTGTGGGCACTGCGCATGCGCGGGGTGCCTCACTAGGGCGGCGTGGGGGAGCCAAAATGGCGGCGCGCGGGCCGGACCGGGCGGGGCGGGAGGGGACGGAGCTGCAAGACACAGGGCGGCCACGGAGCAGCGGCGGCAGGAGCGGGAGAGCGACCACGGAGCGACCACGGAGCGGGAGATGAACCGGGAAGGCGGGAGGAGCGGGGAGGAGGCGGCCGGAGGCTGCTGAGGGGAGGTTGCAGGCACTGCGCATGCGCGGGTTGTCTCACTAGGGCGGCGGGAGGGAGCCAAGATGGCGGGGGGCGGCGCGGGCGGGGAGGCAGCGGCGAAGCTGCGGGAACAGGAACGGGGCGAGGACCGGACCGGAGTCGCCCCATCCAGCAGCTCTGAAGCAGTGGGGCTGCGCTGGGGAAGGCGCGGCTAGGCCGCCATGCAGCGGCGGCGGCAGGAGCGGGAGCGGCCTCGTCAGCGGAAGAGGATCCGGGGTGGGGGGGGGGAAGGTTGTGGGTACTGCGCATGCGCGGGTTGCCTCACTAGGGCGGCGTGGGGGAGCCAAATTGGTGCCGGGCCGGGCGGTGCGGGAGGGGACGGAGCTGCGGGAACGGGACACGGGGCGGCCACGGAGCAGCGGCGGCAGGAGCGGGACAGCGACCACGGAGCGGGAGATGATCCGGGGTGGCGGGAGGAGCGGGGACGAGGCGGCGGGAGGCTGTTGAGGGGCGGTTGCAAGCACTGCGCATGCGCGGTTGCCTCACTAGTGCCGCGGGAGGGAGCCAAAATGGCGGCGGGCGGGGAGGCGGTGACGGAGCTGCGGGAACGGGAACGGGGCGAGGACCGGACCGCAGCCGCGCCATCCAGCAGCTCTGAATCGGGAGGGCTGCGCTGGGGAAAAGGCGCGGCTCGGCCGCCATGCGGCGGCAGGAGTGGGAAAGCGGTGGTGGGGAGAGTTGTAGCAACTGCGCATGCGCGGGTTGCCTCACTAGGGCGGCGTGAGGTAGCCAAGATGGCGGCGGGCGGTGCCGCGAGTTGTCGGAGCTGCAGAAACGGGAACGGGGCCACGGCTGCAGCTGTGGAGGGGAACGAAGGGTTCGGAGCCGAGCCGTCCAGCGACTCTGAAGCGGGAGGGCTGCGCTGCCGAGCGGCGGCGGGACCGGGAAAGCGACCACGGGTGGCGGCACGGGGGGTAAGGGGGTGGGAATGGGGTTGTAGCAACTGCGCATGCGCGGGCTGCCAAACTAGGGCGGTGTGAGGGAGCCAAGATGGCGGCGGGCGGGGAGGCGGCGGGAACGGGAACGAGCAGAGAGCTCCGGCCGCACCCCGAGAGCCGCGACCGGAGCCACAGCAGCCCCGGCGCGGCGAGACAGACAATAAAGAGATTGAATCCCTTTGTGTCCTAAAGTCTCCGGCAAATGCGGGGGGGACGGCACTGTCCTTTACCTAAGTCGCGCTTTACGGCCTCTTTCACGACAGTCGGTATTAACAGCAGTCGTGCTTCACCGCACCCTTTACGACAGTCGCGCTTTAATGACCCTTTTACGACAGTCGCGCTTTACTGACCCTTTTACGTCAGTCGCGCTTTACGACACCTTTTACGGCAGTCGCGATTCACTACCCCTTTTACGACAGTCGCGCTTTGCGGCACCTTTTACGACAGTCGCGCTTTACGGCAGCTTTTACGACAGTCCCGCTTTACGGTACCTTTTACGACAGTCGCGCTTTGCGGCATCTTTTACGACAGTCGCGCTTTATGGCCCATTTTACGACAGTCGCGCTTTACGACCCCCTTTTACGACAGTCGGGCTTTACGGCCCCTTTTACGACAGTCGCGCTTTACGGCCGGCTTTACGACAGTCGCGCTTTACGGCCCCTTTTACGACAGCCGCGCTTTACGGTACCTTTTACGACAGTCGCGCTTTGCGGCACCTTTTACGACAGTCGCGCTTTACGGCCCTTTTACGACAGTCGCGCTTTACGGCCGGCTTTACGACAGTCGCGCTTTACGACCGGCTTTACGACAGTCGCGCTTTACGACCGGCTTTACGACAGTCGCGCTTTACGGCACCTTTTACGACAGTCGCGCTTTACGGTACCTTTTACGACCAGTCGCGCTTTGCGGCACCTTTTACGACAGTCGCGCTTTACGGCCGGCTTTACGACAGTCGCCCTTTACGACAGTCGCGCTTTACGACCCCTTTTACGACAGTCGCACTTTACGACCCCTTTTACGACAGTCGCGCTTTACGGCCGGCTTTACGACAGTCGCACTTTACGGCCCTTTTTTACGACAGTCGCGCTTTACGGCCCCTTTTACGACAGTCGCGCTTTACGGCCCTTTTACGACAGTCGCGCTTTACGGCACCTTTTACGACAGTCGCGCTTTGCGGTACCTTTTACGACAGTCGCGCTTTGCGGCACCTTTTACGACAGTCGCGCTTTACGGCCCTTTTACGACAGTCGCGCTTTACGGCCGGCTTTACGACAGTCGCGCTTTACGACCGGCTTTACGACAGTCGCGCTTTACGGCACCTTTTACGACAGTCGCGCTTTACGGTACCTTTTACGACAGTCGCGCTTTGCGGCACCTTTTACGACAGTCGCGCTTTACGGCCCTTTTACGACAGTCGCGCTTTACGGCCGGCTTTACGACAGTCGCGCTTTACGGCACCTTTTACGACAGTCGCGCTTTACGGCCGGCTTTACGACAGTCGCGCTTTACGACTCCCTTTACGACAGTCGCGATTTACGGCACCTTTTACGACAGTCGCGCTTTACGGTACCCTTTTACGACAGTCGCGCTTTGCGGCACCTTTTACGACAGTCGCGCTTTACGGCCCTTTTACGACAGTCGCGCTTTAACGGCCGGCTTTACGACAGTCGCGCTTTACGGCCGGCTTTACGACAGTCGCGCTTTAACGACCCCCTTTTACGACAGTCGCGCTTTACGGTCGGTTTTTCGACAGTCGCGCTTTACGGCAGTTTTACGACAGTCGCGGTTGTTTTTGTGACATTTTTGACTTTTTTTGGGAGGATTTTTATTTTTTTAATGGATTTGGGGGATTTTTCGTGCCAATTTTTTTTCACTTTTTTCCTTTTTTGTTGTTGTATTTTGGGGGGATTTCTCTTGCGCAATTCTTGTGGAATATTTCTCAATTTCAGGGTTGGTTTTTTTTTAATTTTTTTTTTTTTTTAGAATTTTTGGGGTCTTTCCCCGAGCAATAAACACACCTGGGCACACCTGGCTGAGTCACCTGTACCTTTATTTTGGGGGGGGGAGGGGGATCGAGGGGCAGGGAGGGGCCCCAGGTGTGCCCAGGTGGGTTCCAGGTGAGGTCCAGGTGGGTTCCAGGTATTCCAGAGGGGTCCCAGGTGAGCTCCAGGTGTCCAAAGGGGCTCCCAGGTGTGCCCAGGTGGGTTTCAGGGATTCAGGGAGGGTCCCAGGTGAGTCCCAGGTGGGTTTCAGGTGTTCCAGGTGAGCCCCAGGTGTTCAGGAAGGGTCCCAGGTGTGCCCAGGTGGGTTTCAGGTGTTCAGGGAGGGTCCCAGGTGAGTCCCACGTGTGCCCAGGTGGGTTTTAGGGATTCAGGAAGGGTCCCAGGTGAGTCCCAGATGGGTTTCTGGTGTTCAGGAAGGGGGCCCCAGGTGTGCCCAGGTATGTCCAGGTGGGTCCCAGGTGCCCAAGGGTGGATCCAGGTGGGTTCCAGGTGTGCCCCGGGTATGTCCAGGTGGGTTCCAGGTGAGTTCCAGGTGTCCAGGGAGGGTCCCAGGTGTGCCCAGGTGTTCAGGGAGGGTCCAAGGAGGGTCCCAGGTGTCCCAAGGTGACTCCCAGGTGTGCCCAGGTGGGTGCCCAGGTGTTCAGGGAGGGTCCCAGGTATCCCAAGAAGGTTCCAGGCGAGTTCCAGGTGCCCAAAGAGAGTCCAAGGAGAGTCCCGGGTGTGCCCAGGTGTGCCCAGGTGTGCCCAGGTGTTCTTCTCAGTAGTAAAGTTCTCGATCCCACCAACCTGGGGGTGGAGAGAACCCGGACAGGTGAGGGTGGGGCAGTGCCCAGGGTGCCCCCAGGTGTGCCCAGGTGTGCCCAGGTTCCCCCCAGGTGTGCCCAGGTGCGCCCAGGTGTGCCCGAATTCACCATCTCCCCCCATTTTTTTGCAGTTTTTTCCCCATTTCCCACCCCCAGGTGCCCCCAGGTGTGCCCAGGTGTGCCCAGGTGTGCCACTCACTGCCCGGGTGTCTCCGCACTCCGAGTTTCCGGATTTCGTCGTAGACGAGGATAAGGAGCCCGAAGGGCATCGGCACCAACCACCACTGGAACCTGCCCAGGTGAGAGCCAGGTGAGAGCCAGGTGTGCCCCAGGTGTGCCCTGGTAGGCCCAGGTGAGCCTCGGGTGTTTTCTGGGGTGCCCAGGTGTCTTTTGGGGTGCCCAGGTGTGCCCCAGGTGTTCTCAGGGAGTTCCCAGGTGTGTCTGGGCACTGCCCAGTGTGCCCAGGTGTGTCTGGGGTGGTACCCAGGTGTGCCCAGGTGTGTTGGGGCAGTGCCCAGGTTGTTTTTGGGGTTCCCAGCTGTGCCCCAATTGTGCCCAGGTGTGCCCAGGTGTGTTTCGATGGTGCCCCAGGTGTGCCCAGGTGTTTTTTGGGGTTCCCAGGTGTTTTTTGGGGTGCCCAGGTGTATTTGAGGAGGTGCCCAGGTGGTTTTGGCGTTCCCGGATGGGTTTGGTCGATGCCCAGGTGTGCCCAGGTGTGTTTGAGGTACCCACATCCAGCCCAGGTGGGCCCAGGTGTGCCCAGGTGTATTTAGGGAGGTGCCCCGGTGGTTTTTGGGTGCCCAGGTGTGCCCAGGTGTGCTTCAGTGGTGCCCAGGTGCCCCCAGGTGTGCCCAGGTGTGCCCAAACCCCCCAAAATCCCCATTTTCCCCCCAATTTTCACCCAGTTTTTTCCATTTATCCCCTCCCAGGCGTGCCCAGGTGCCCCCAGGTGTGCCCAGGTGTGCCCAGGTGAGCTCACCTGATGGGCATGAAGTTGAAACACGTTGGGCATGCCGGGGCAGTAGCAGAGGAAGCAGCCGATGCACACCTGGAACACGATGGCCACCAGCAGGGTCCGGTTCCTGAAAACAGCCCAGGTGTGCCCAGGGGTGCCCAGGTGTGCCCAGGTGTGCCCAGGTGTGCCCAAATTCCCCAATTTTCACCCGATTTCCCCAAATTTTCACCGATTTCCCCCCAAATTTTCCCTGATTTTCCCCAAATTTTCGCCGCTTTTCCCCATTTTCCCCACCCCCAGGTGTGCCCAGGGGTGCCCAGGTGTCCCCAAATTCTCAAATTTTCACCGATTTCACCCCAATTTTCCACCGATTTTCCCCCCAATTTTTGCCATTTTCTCCCTCCCCAGGTGTGCCCAGGTGTGCCCAGGTGTGCCCAAAAATTGAAATTCCCCCCTAAAAACCCCCATTTTTTCCCCGTTTTTCACCCAATTTTCGCCGTTTTCCCCCCATTTCCCCGCCCCCAGCCGCCCCCCAGGTGTGCCCCAGGTGTGCCCAGGTGTGCCCGGCGCACCTGAAGAGCCCCTGCTGGAACAGCGACAGCCGCCGCGTCTTGCGGATCAGCACGTCGGCGATCTGGCACATCTCGATGCTGATGAAGAACACGGTGTAGCAGGTGTACTGCTGGTAGCGCCGCTGCTCAGAACGTCTGCGGGCACAGGTGGGCGCAGGTGGGCACAGGTGGGCGCAGGTGGGCGCAGGTGAGACCAAACTCCCCATTTTTCCCCTGATTTTCCCCAAAATTTTCCCCATTTTTCCCCATTTTTTCTCCCGTTTTCCCCCACAATTTTTGTGGTTTTTTGGTAGGTGTGCCCAAGTGTGCCACAGGTGGGCACAGGTGAGGCCAATTTACCCATTTTCCCGAAAATTTTCCCTTTTTTTTCACAATTTTTCCACAATTTTTTCCCATTTTTCCCCGATTTTCCCATGAATTTTTTGGTGTTTTTCCACATTTTTCTCTCCCCCAGGTGAGACTGAGCCCCAAATTTCCCAATTTTTCCCTTTTTTTCCTAAAAATTTTATATTTTTTGCACAGTTTTCCCATAAATTTTTCCATTTTCCTATAATTTTCCCCAAAAACTTTTCTGTTTTTTACCCGATTTTCCCATGAATTTTTTTGTGTTTTTCCCCTTTTTCCCACCCCCAGCTGTGCCCAGGTGTGCCCAAATTCCCAATTTTCCCTCCAAAATCCCCAAATTTTCACCGATTCCCCCCAAATTTTCACCCGTTTTTCCCCCATTTTTTGTGCCCCCAGGTGAGCGGCCCAGGTGTGCCCAGGTGTCCCCAAATTCTCCAATTTCCACCGATTTTCCCCCAATTTTCCCTGATTTTACCCAAATTTTTCACTGATTTCCCCCAATTTTGTGCCCCCAGGTGTGCCCAAATCCCCATTTTTCCCTCCAAAAACCCCAAATTTTCACCGATTTTCCCCAAATTTTCACCCGATTTTCCCCAAATTTTCGCCATTTCCCCCCATTTTTGTGCCCCCCAGGTGTGTGCCCAGGTGCGCCCAGGTGCGGCACGCACCCCACTGCTGCCCGTAGCTGTCCTGCAGCTCCTGCTCGTCGGCGCGTCCTCCCAGCGGGGGCGGAGCCCCAGCACCAGGTACGGCCACCAGCCCTCCTGGGCCATGGCCACGAAGTAATCGGTGAAACCCGCGAAGGACTGGATGGCACCTGGGCAGGTGGGACAGGTGGGACATGGACAGGTGGGACATGGACAGGTGCAGACATGGACAGGTGGGACATGGACAGGTGAGATACACCTGGATGGGGTGAGGGGAAACACCTGGGACAGGTGAGCAATGGCCCACCAACCCTCCTGGGCCATGGCCACGAAGTAATCGGTGAAACCCGCGAAGGACTGGATGGCACCTGGGCAGGTGGGGACAGGTGAGACCATGGGGCAGGTGGGACATGGACAAGTGAGACATGGACAGGTGAGACGATGGGCAGGTGGGACATGGACAGGTGAGACATGGACAGCTGAGATATGGACACCAACCCCCCTGAGATACACCCGGGCAGGTGGGACAGGTGAGACATGGGCAGGTGGGGACATGGACAGGTGGGACATGGACAGGTGAGACATGGACAGGTGGGACAGGTGAGATATGGCCAACAACCCTCTTGAGATACACTGGACAGGTGACACAGGTGAGAGACAGGTGAGACATGGGCAGGTGGGACATGGACAGGTGGGACATGGACAGGTGGGACATGGACAGGTGAGACATGGACACCAACCCCCCTGAGATACACCTGGGCAGGTGAGACACAGGTGAGACATGGACAGGTGAGATGGGACAGGTGAGACCCCAGATGTTCGATCATTCCACGTATCCCCCAAATCCAGGTGTGCCCAGGTGTGCCCAGGTAACCCCAAACCCCCCAAAATCCCCATTTTTCACCCGATTTTCACCCCGTTTTTTCCACGTATCCCCTCCCAGGTGCCCCCAGGCGTGCCCAGGTGTGCCCAGGTGTGCCCAGGTGTGCCCCCTCACCTATCTGGAAGTACGAGTACGCCGCCAGGGGCTCGTTGACCAGGCGGTCGCGCCGGGGGTTGCGGGGCCCGCAGGTGCATGATGTCGCTCTCGGCGCGCTCGTAGGCCAGGGACACCGAGGGGAACTGCCCAGGTGGGCACAGGTGGGCACAGGTGGGCACAGGTGGGCACAAATTACCCAATTTTCACCGGTTTTTCCCCAAATTTTCAACTATTTTCCCCCCAAATTTTTGCCGGTTTTCCCCGTTTTTGTGCCCCAGGTGGGCACAGGTGTGCCCAGGTGTCCATAGGTGCCCCCAGGTGGGCACAGGTAGGCACAGGGTGTGCCCAAAATCCCCAATTTTCACACCGTTTTCCCCCCAAATTTTTGCCGTTTTTCCCCATTTTTGTGCCCCCAGGTGGGCACAGGTGTGCCCAGGTGTGCCCAGGTGTGCCCAAACCCCCAATTTCCCCTCCAAAACCCCCAAATTTCCACCGATTTTCACCCAATTTTCGCCATTTTCTCCCTCTCAGATGTGCCCAGGTGTGCCCAGATTTGCCCAGGTGTGCCCAGGTGTGTTCCTGTCCCTCCCAGGTGTGCCCAGGTGTGCCCAATCCCCCAATTTCCCCTCCAAAACCCCCAAATTTCCACCGATTTTCACCCAATTTTTGCTGGTTTTCCCCATTTTCTCCCTCCCAGGTGTGCCCAGGTGAGTGCCCAGGTATGTTCCTATCCCTCTCGGGTGCCCCCAGGTGTGCCCAGGTGTGCCGAAATCCCCAATTACCCCTCCAAAAACCCCAGATTTCCACCGATTTTCACCCAATTTTTCACCATTTTCTCCCTCCCAGGTGTGCCCAGGTGAGTGCCCAGGTGAGTGCCAGGTGCGTTCCTACCCCTCCCAGGTGTGCCCAGGTGTGCCCAAACCCCCAATTTCCCCTCCAAAAACCCCAAATTTCCACCGATTTTCCCCAAGTTTCCACCGATTTTCACCCAATTTTCGCCATTTTTGTGACCCCAGGTGTGCCCAGGTGTGCCCAGGTGTGCCCAGGTGCGCCACTCACGATGTCGGTGCAGAGCTCGATGAAGAGGATGGTGATGCAGCCCAGGGGGAGGGGCCACGCTGGCCGTGATGTAGATCAGGTACGGCGTCAGCTCCGGAATGTTCTTGGTCAGCGTGTAGGCGATCGACTTCCTTGAGGTTGTCGAAGATCAGCCGGCCTGGACAGGTGAGACAGGTGAGACAGGTGAGGGGGACAGGTGAGACAGGTGAGACATGGACAGGTGTGGGACGGGTGAGATAAGGACAGGTGAGACATGGACAGGTGAGATGGGACAGGTGAGGGGGACAGGTACAGGTGTGTGACAGGTGTGTGGGACAGGTGAGGGCTACAGGTGTGTGACCCTCCCCAGGTGAGCGGGGACATGTGTGGGAATGGCTCAGGTGTGTGGGACAGGTGAGATATGGACAGGTGAGACATGGACAGGTGAGAGATGGACAGGTGAGCATGGATAGGTGAGACAGGTGAGATACAGGTGAGATATGGACAGGGTGAGATGGGACAGGTGACATATGGACAGGTGAGAGATGGACAGGTGAGCATGGATAGGTGAGACAGGTGAGATACAGGTGAGATATGGACAGGTGAGATAAGGACAGGTGAGATGGCACAGGTGAGATGGGACAGGTGAGATGGGACAGGTGAGACATGGACAGGTGAGATAAGGACAGGTGACATATGGACAGGTGAGAGATGGACAGGTGAGCATGGATAGGTGAGACAGGTGAGATACAGGTGAGATATGGACAGGTGAGATGGGACAGGTGACATATGGACAGGTGAGACATGGACAGGTGAGATACGGGACAGGTGCGCCCAGGTGTATCTCAGGTGTGTCTCACCCGCCCAGGTGTGTCTCACCTTGCTCGACACCCGTGACGATCGACGCAAAGTTGTCGTCCAGCAGGATCCCCTGTCCCACACCTGTCCCATGTGTCTCACCTGTCCCATACCTGTCTCAGGTGTACCCAGGTGTGTCTCAGGTGTGTCTCTCACCTGCCCAGGTGCGTTTCTCACCTTGCTCCACCCCCCGTGACGATGGAGGCGAAGTTGTCGTCCAGCAGGATCATGTCGGCCGCGTTCTTGGCGGCGTCGGAGCCGGCGATGCCCATGGCCACGCCGATGTCGGCCTTCTTCAGCGCCGGCGAGTCGTTCACGCCGTCGCCGCCCGTCACCGCCACGATGGCGCCCTTTGGGGCGAAAAACGGGAAATTTGGGAAAATTTGTGAAAAAAACGAAAAAAAACTGGGTGAAAATCGGGGCGAAAAACGGCCGAGAAATGGGGGGGGGGGAAAAATTGGTGAAAAATGGGGGAAAAATGAGGAGAAAAATTGGGGAAATTGGGATGAGTGGGGGGCACTGGGGAAAAATAGGGAATTTAGGGAAAAATGTGGGGAAAATGGGTTAAAAATGGTAAAAAGCAAATAACCGGGTGAAATCGGGTGTGAAAAATGGCCGAGAAATGGGGGGAAAATGGGGGAAAAAAATTGAGGGAAAATGGGAGGAAAAAACTGGGGAAATTTGGGATGTTTTTGGACACTGGGGAAAAGTGGGGAATTTAGGGAAAAATATGGGGAAAATGGTAAAAAGCAAAAAATTGGGTGAAAAATCCCGGTGAAAAATGGCCGAGAAATGGGGGGGAAAATGGGGGAAAATTGGTAAAAAGTGGGGAGAAAAATTGGGGAAATTTAGGACGTTAGGGACATTGAGAAAAAATGAGGAATTTGGAGAAAAATTGGGAAAAATTGGTAGAAACAAAAAAAAAAATTAGAAAATATTGTGAAAAAACAAAAAAAGAACATGGCTGAAAATCGGACAAAAAATGGGGAAAAATTGGAAAAAAAATTGGGGGGAAATGGGGGAAATTGGGGGTTGGGGACATTGAGAAAATAATGGGGAATTTGGGGGAAAAATGGGAGGAATAAAAGGGAAAATGGGGAAAATGGTAAAAAGCAAAAAATTGGGTGAAAATCGGGTGAAAAAACGGCCGAGAAATGGGGGAAAAATGGGGGGGAATGGGGGAAAAATGGGGAAAAACTGGGGAAATTTGGGGATGTTTTTGGACACTGGGGACATTGAGGAAAAAATGGGGGAATCTGGGGGAAAATGGGGGAAAATGGTAAAAAAATGCTTCAAAAAGGTAAAAAACCAAAAAAAAGGGGTGAAAACCGGGTAAACAATGGCCAAGAAAAGGGGAAAAAAAATGGGGGGAAATTGGAGGGAAAATGGGGAAAATTTGGGACATTTGGAGACCCGGAGAAAAACGGGAATTTGGGGAAAAAATTCAAAAAAACGGGAAAAACAACCTCAAAATTGGATGAAATTTGGCCCAAAAATGGGGAAATGGATGAAAAAAAATGGGAAAAATGGGGAAAAAATGGGGATAAATGGGAAAAAAATTGAAAAAAAACGGGGAAAAAATCGGAAAAAATGGGGGAATAACGGGGAAAAAAACCGGGGAAAATGGGGATTTAGGGACACGGGGGACGTTGTGGCCGCCCCCAGGTGTGCCCAGGTGTGCCCAGGTGTGCCCAGGTGTGCCCACCAGGCGCTGGCAGCTCTCCACGATGACCAACTTCTGCTGGGCGACGCCGTCGGGCGAAAACCATCTCGGGGTGGGCGCGGAGCAGCTCCTCGAGCGCCCCCGGGGGCAGCGCCGCCAGCTCGGAGCCGGTGACCACGCGGGCACGGGCCTGGCTGCAGGTAAACACACCTGAGTTACACCTGAGTTACGTGCGACACACCTGGGACACACCCTGAGTTACGTGGGACACACCTGGGACACACCTGAGACACACCTGAGTTACCTGGGATACACCTGGGTTACACCTGAGTTACGTGGGACACACCTGGGACACACCTGAGTTACGTGGGACACACCTGGGACACACCTGAGTTACGTGTGACACACCTGGGACACACCTGAGTTACACCTGAGTTACCTGGGATACACCTGGGGACAACACCTGAGTTACACCTGAGTTACGTGTGACACACCTGGACACACCTGAGTTACGTGTGACACACCTGGGACACACCTGAGACACACCTGAGTTACCTGGGATACACCTGGGATACACCTGAGTTACACCTGAGTTACCTGGGATACACCTGGGATACACCTGAGTTACCTGGGATACACCTGAGTTACCTTTATGGTCAGGTAATACACCTGGGATACACCTGAGTTACACCTGAGTTACCTGAGGACACACCTGAGTTACACCTGAGTTACCTGGGACACACCTGAGTTACCTGAGATACACCTGGGATACACCTGAGTTACCTGAGACACACCTGAGTTACCTGGGATACACCTGGGATACACCTGAGTTACACCTGAGTTACCTGAGATACACCTGAGACACACCTGAGTTACCTGGGACACACCTGAGTTACCTGAGATACACCTGAGTTACTTGGGATACACCTGAGATACACGTGGATACACCTGAGTTACCTGGGGACACCACCTGTCCCACCTGTCCCACACCTGAGTGACCTGGGAGGTGACAAACAGCTCAGCCACCTGTCCCACACCTGTCCCACACCTGATCCCTGTCCTACACCTGGGCAGCTGCAGGTGCTCACCTGGCTGTACCTGTGCTCACCTGTGCACCTCACCTGGGCTGTACCTGTGCAGGTGAGGGTCCCACCTGTCCCACCAGGTGCTCACCTGGGCTGTACCTGTGCACTCCACCTGGACGTTACCTGTCCCACCTGTCCCACCTGGTGCTCACCTGGGCTGTACCTGCTCCAGGGGCAGGTGCAGGTGTTCACCTGTGCTCACCTGGGCTGTACCTGCTCCAGGGGCAGGTGCAGGTGTTCCCCCTGTGCTCACCTGGGCTGTACCTGCTCCAGGGGCAGGTGCAGGTGTTCCCCTGTGCTCACCTGGGCTGTACCTGCTCCAGGGGCAGGTGCAGGCGCTCGGCCACGTCCTCGGGGGTCTCGCTGCCCTCGGAGATGATCCCGACCTGCGCCGCGATGGCCTTGGCCGTCACCGGGGTGGTCACCGGTCACCATGATCACCTGGGGGACACACCTGTGTCACCTGGGACACACCTGGGGGCCATCTGTCACCATGATCACCTGGGGGACACACCTGTGTCACCTGGGACACAACCCGGGGGTCACCTAGGGGACACACCTGGGGGCCACCTGTCACCATGATCACCTGGGGGACACACCTGTGTCACCTGGGACACACCTGGGGATCACCTGTCACCATGATCACCTGGGGGACACACCTGTGTCACCTGGGACACACCCGGGGATCACCTGTCACCATGATCACCTGGGGGACACACCTGTGTCACCTGGGACACACCTGGGGGTCACCTGTCACCATGATCACCTGGGGGACACACCTGGGGGTCACCTGGGGGGACACACCTGGGGGCCACCTGTCACCAATGATCACCTGGGGGACACACCTGAGGGGGTCACCTGGGGGACAAGGACACACCTGGGGGTCACCTGTCACCATGATCACCTGGGGAGGTGACATGGACACACCTGTGTCACCTGGGGACACACCTGGGGATCACCTGCGGGGGGGGGGTCACACCTGAGGGACACACCTGAACCCCCCTGAATTGTCCCCAAATGTCCCCAAGGTCTTCGATGTACCCAAATCCCCCGATTTGTCCCCAAATACCCCACAAATGTCCCCAAATCCCCCCCAGTATCCCAAACGTCCCCAAATGCCCCAAAATGTCCCCAAAATGTCCCCAAATCCCCACAATGTCCCCAATGTCCCCAATCCCATTTTTCCCCTTTTTTCTCCCATTTTTTCCCAATGTCCCCAAATCCCCCAAATGTCCCCCAATGTCCCCCAATCCTGTTTTTCCCCTATTTTTTCCCATTTCCCCCCATTTTTTCCCAATGTCCCCAATGTCCCCAATCCCATTTTCCCCTATTTTTTCCCATTTCCCCCCATTTTTTCCCAATGTCCCCAATGTCCCCAAATCCCCCCCAAATGTCCCCCAATGTCCCCCAATCCCATTTTCCCCCTATTTTTTCCCATTTCCCCCATTTTTTCCCCAATGTCCCCAATGTCCCCAGTGTCATTTTTTCTCCATTTCCCCACCATTTTCCCCCCTATTTTCGCCGTTTTCCGCCCAATTTTCGCCCGATTTTTTTCCTGTTTTTTTCCCAAATTTCCTACCATTTTTTCCCCAGTGTCCCCAAACGTCCCCAGCTGTCCCCAAAGTCCCTCACCCGGATGCCGGCCGTCCGGCACTTGCGCACGGCCTGGGGCACGGTGGCTGCGGGGGGGGTCGATGAGGGACACGAGCCCGGCGAAGCAGAGCCCCCTGTGCCACCTGCGCCAGGTGCTCGGGGGGCGTGCCCGCGGGCACGGTGCCGGCGGGCAGCCAGCGGGCACAGAAACCTGCGGGGACGAAAATTTGGGGAGAAAACGGGGAAAAAATTGGGCG